GGAATACTGTTGCCATATCTGGGGCGGATCTTCTAATGATGCCCTTTCTCTTTTAGACAAGGTGCAAAAACGCATTGTAAACATAGTTGGACCTGCTCTTGCAGCCAACCTTCAACCTCTGTCACATCGTCGTAATGTTGCTTCTCTTTTTTTTTTCTACAAATACTATAATGGGCACTGCTCTAAAGAGCTAGCGTCTCTTGTGCCATCTACTAAAATTCATTCTCGTGTTACTGGTCATTCAATTAAGTCTCATCCTTTTTCTGTTACTGTTCCTAAGTGCTCCAAAAACTCTTATTCATCTAGTTTTTTTCCTCGAACATCAGTTCTTTGGAATTCGCTTCCTTCATCTTGCTTTCCTGATTCATATAATTTGCAATATTTTAAGTTGTCTGTCAATTGTTATCTTGCTCTACAATCTTCATATTTTCTCTTCCAGTAACTTCCAACACTAATTAGTGGTTGCTTGCAACCTTGTTGGAAGCGAAGATAATTAAAAAAAAAATATGTATATATATATATATATATGTATATATATGTATATATATGTATATATATGTATATATATGTATATATATATATATATATATATATATATATATATATATATATATATATGTATATATATATATATATATATATATATATATATATATATATATATATATATATATATATATATATTAAATTGAATTGTTTTTGAGAATTTTATATAAAATAATGTTTTGAAAAAAAAATTTATTGAAGTTATTTTGATTTCTTTATTTCTCAGTGTTTGAGTTAATCGAAGATATTTGCTGAAAAAATGGTTCCACTTAACAAAGTTTGAGTTATCCAAGGTTCAACTTAAGAGGAGAATTTTAATAATAATTAGTTAGACAATTTCAAGGGAACAAATAAAATAGTTCAAGATAACAAAAATTAGAGTTAACTGCTGATTGACTTATCAGGAATTATATATATGTGTATATATATATATATATATATATATATATATATATATATATATATATATATATATATATATATATATATATATATATATATATAGAGAGAGAGAGAGAGAGAGAAAGAGAGAGAGAGAGGGAGAGAGTTAAGAAACTTTTTTAAGTGATTAAAGAATAATTTAATCAGAAAAAGTGATTTTCACATTTTAATTAAACATTTACTTAAATATTGGTATTTAAATTTTTAAATACCAATATTTCCAAGCAAAAGAAATTATTTGTACAGAAATTGAATTAATAAATCACTAATAAAGATTAACTTAAGTCATTAAAGAAATATTGATCTTGATCACATGACAATACCATGCTTTCTGGAGAAATCAGTACACAGAAAAGTTGTGGTTGTCATTCATAATTAAAAATTTGTGATTAAATCTACAAATTGCAATTAAGAAGAGAAATATTATAAGTATAGGGAAAAAATATTTGGTATGAATATTTTGACTTAAAGTCAAAATATTCATATCAAATTTAAAGTAATAAAGATATCTACAACACTGACACATAAAATAAGTTTGATTTGATCTTACATTGAATTGTAAAAAGAAATGTGATGATGGTTATAGCAAACATAAACAAATTTATTTTAGCAATTGGTTTTCAAGCAAGTCCAAATCTATGGTTACATCTTTGAAAGAGCAAGACAATACTGAATCTATTTATAACAATTTACACAAGATAATTTTAGAACTTTTATTAAGAAAATTTTTTGTTAAAATGGGAATAATTAAACACTTCACAAATATTTTCCAATTTTAATTGTCGACTTCATATTCTAATTTTTAATAATTTTATGAATGTTTGATTCCTTATCAATATATCCTGACATTAATTACTGGTTTATTATTGAGTTGATAAGTAACTACCATGATTTAATTTAACAATACAATAACAATAATGGGACAGTTATTAAAAAAAACAACTAATAAATATGAATGAATGACTATATGAATGACAAAACAGAGCTGAATTTACAAAATTCAAAAAACGATATAAGTCTGATATAGAGAAAAAAACGATATAAGTCTGATATAGAGACACAAAAAATTAATCTGTAATTTGTTATTTCAAACCAGGGTTTTTATTCTGGAACTTTATTCTGCATTTAAAAAGCACAATGGAATTTAAGAGCTATATTTTGCTTGAAATATATGCTTTTGAGCCAGTCAAAAAAAAAAAAGATCTATAGTAATGGTAGATTACTGGGCCAAACCATGGCAAAACAATGGTTCTTTTGCAGAAAAAACACAAACAATATAAAGAAATTTTAATCAGTTATTCTGATAATTGCTTACAGTACTTGGATAGAGACTGTAATATTTAGAATGATTGGTTTACTTAAGCAAGTTTAAAATTTCCTAAAAAGATAGGTCATCAACATAAACTTAAAAAAACAAAGGCTAAATGCCAAAGAGATTATAACAAACTTTGATTAACTTTTGCATTTTACAAATTCATTGATTTACTAAACTGATTGAACAGCGCTTGTTTTTCAAAAATATTTAGTATCTCACAATAACATGTTTGTGAGAAGGTTTTTTGATCAGTTATAGTTAAAATTTTTTTTTAAATTTCATATCATTTCTCCGCTAGTAATAATAGGATAAACTACTACCAGAAAGAAAAAAAAAATTCACACTGCTAAAATATAACCATCTATATACAATTATCCTGATAAAAATACACATTCTGAGCAGATGTAAACTGCGTTTGACTACCATCTTTGAAAAGGTCTTCTTGACAAAGATTTTACAGATAAGTTTATGTTGTCTTTTTTTTTAACTATTTTTTTTTTTTTTAATTATTCACCTCCTTAAGGCCCGAGGGGGCCACTACAGTTGAGGAGGCTACTCATTTTTTTTTTTTTTGTTGTAAAATGTGGTATAACCCTCTCTCAACTCTTTAACTCCGAAACACGAACCTTGACAAGCAAGGTCGCTGCGTGGAGAAATTAAGTTAAAATTTAGAGTAATTAAATTCAACTTTAAATGAGGGTATAAGTTTAAAGCTCAGTTTAAAGGTTCAGAGGCCAACTGGTAGTTATTTTTTCTAAAGCTAACTTCTCTGAGGTGGTTTATAGAACGACTGTTTCCATCAACAACTGTAAAGTATTTTAGTATTAACAATGCCATACAACACATGAACTATGTTTCTGTTAGTGCTTTTGGTATGCTGAGGTCACAAAAAGAGCCCTTTGTTGCTCCTTATGTGAGTTCCTCATTCTTGTTAATCAACTTTGTGTGAATTAATAAGAATGAAGTAACTAAATAGCTTATTGTTTAAGGTGCCATGTATAAATGTTTGAATTCTTTAGAATAACTTAAACCATGACTACAGTACCAAAATATACTTCACATAAAAATGATTGTCACCACAAAATTGTTTCAATTCATTTTTTACAAATATTTATGTTAAACATTAAACATTCCAGTCTTCAAAGTAATTTTTTTATTTTTTTTAACATTTTTTTTTTTAATTTGTTAAAGTATTTAACCAAACTTGGTCTTTATAAAACTTATTTTAAATTCAATTGCTTAACCTTTTGCAAACTAGATCAGGCTTTTTAACTTTTAAATCTTACTGTTAATGGCTGTTATTCTATGACACTCAAAATCACTTGGATGGCACTGACATTGGTTCACATATCAATTCACCTGTTTGTCATAAAATTTGAACCCTTTGACTTTTCTTCTGTGCTTTTGTGTATAAATAGAATTTACAATTGTAAATATTAATATCATAAAATACTAAAAAATGTTTACTAGAAGAAGAAAAAAAGTGTATACAATCATACAAGCTACTATGTTGGCATAGCGATTTTTTAGTTTGACATCTGGTAAGAGGGCATCATCCCAAGTGTATAACTGACCATTATTCAAACACTAAAATAGCAAAAATGTAAAAATAATTGAATGAAAGTGAAGGCAAAATCTAATATAAAATTCAATTTAAACAAAATTCAAATACTAAAAAATAAAAATATAGAACAGAATAAAAAAATAAAAATATAGAATAATAGTAAAAAATATAATATATAAAACAAAATTGAATGTATATACAAAAGAAAAACTACTTTTTATAAAATATATATATATATATATATTTGCATTTCCAATAAGTATTACCTGCAAGGTATAAGGGTGTTATGAGGTAATAGGCTAGTTGGGGTAAGTAGCAATCATTTAATAAGCACATATTTTTAATATGTGATAATTCAAATTATGCATTATTGTCTTTTTTTAATGTTTTTTTTCTACTGTATTTTTTTAACATCAAAAAATTCATAAATTAGTTTTATGAATTTTTTGATGTTAACTAAATCTTCAAATTCTTAAAAGTTTGTTTATTTAGAAAAAAATAAAATTGTTTATCTAGCTAATATATTCAGGTTATGTGTATTAACATGAATCAAGTTTATGTTGAAAGTATAGTAAAAGACTCATTTAAATCTTCTAGAAGAATTAAGAATACTTTTTATCTAAATACTAAATATAAAAATTAAAGAAAAAAATCATAACAATTAAAAAGAAAAAATAATAGTAAAAAAGGACCTATACTATTTTGAGGAATTTTGAAAGAGGTACCAGCATTAGAATTAAACAAATCAACATACCATTGTCACTTTTTGAAAGATAGATAGAAAACGCCACCCAAAACATTTTTTGTGTTTTGTTTATAACAGATTAAGTTTAAGATATGAATAAAAAGTAAATAGTTATTTATTAATTCATAATTACTCATTAAATCATATTTTTTCATTAAATTATTCATTAAATCTAAAAGCTTTTCAAGCTTTTTAGGTTTATGTTTCATTACCATTTTTGTAAGACTTTTCCTTAGCAGGTGATTATTTTATTGCACAAATACTTAGTGCAGGCTCTGAAGATCTGAGTTCCAAAGTATTAGATTTGTAAACATTTGGAACATTTCCATGTTTGTGCAATTTGAAATTTCACTGGAGCAAAAGCTACTTATGGAATAATATTAGGGTTGAAAGAATAGATTCTGGCAGATCTGTATCCTAATATGGCATTTACTGGTGTAGCATTATGCAGCCAAACACTGTTAAAAAAAAGTTTAAATAATTGCATTTTTTCTTTCATTACCATATTTTGTGTGAAACAGATTTTTTAATTTACATTTTGGCAATTGCTTATTTTCAATAATTGCCTAATTTCAATTATAATGTTATACATATAAACACAGCGCTGTAAGCTGTCAGCATTATTAGACTACTTTGCCTAAATGAGAATGCTGTTTATTAAGGACAACTTTAATACAAAGGAAACAATTGACAGAAGACTTGAAAATTCGAAGGTTGTATGAGTCAGAGAAAAATGAAGAGTTCCAGAGCATTGAAATGTGGGGAAAAAAACTAGATGAATAAAAGTTTAGAGCGCAAAAGGACAGAAACAGTAAAAGGATGCAACTTTGCTGAATGATGATTCAAGTGAGAATAAGTTTTGGTGATGGAATTAGATATGATTTTGAGCAGTTACCATGATAATATTTGTAGAAAAGATTAGCAGATAAACCAGGTTCAACTATGTTTACAAGGCATTTTTAGACCTTTTCTAGTAGAGAAAGAATATCATTCGAAGAAACAGCCATATAGAATGATATGACAATAGCATTCTATACAAAGACAAATAAGATATTTGTAGAGAATGGAATGAGGAGTAAGAAAATAGCAAACAAAATAAATTTTAAGTCTTTAATATAAAAAGAGCAATAGCCATTACCTCACTGCTTTTTATATTTGATTCAATGATACTTACTGCTTTCATCTAATGCATGATTGATTTTTTCTATTATTATGAATATAATAATAAATTAGCAGTATAAACAGAGAATCAAAATCTTTATTTATAAAAAAATCTGTATTTATAGTAAGAAACTAAATAATTGGACTCAAGACAAGATATAAATAGCTTGATAGATAAAAATTCAGAAACTTTGCTTAAGTAAATTTTTAGTAAGAAAACTGACTAGGTCATAGTTAGACTGTGATACAGATGTTTTCAGGACCTTTAAAAGATTTAAAAAAGTTTATATAAAAATGGATATCTAGCAATGGATTATTCAAATTCTCTGGGATGTTAGGATGAGTAGCATTTTACAATTACTTCCAAAAGTCTTTTGAATCCATTTATTATAATAAAACTTAGTTATCTAAGAATAGCATTAGACAATATATTTGTGCATTAATTTCTTGCAATGATTACAAAAGACAATAGTATTCTAGTTGTTGTCAATAGTGTTCTAGTTGTTGTCAATAGTGTTCTAGTTGTTGTCAATAGTGTTCTAGTTGTTGTCAATAGTGTTCTAGTTGTTGTCAATAGCGTTCTAGGTGTTGTCAATAGTGTTCTAGTTGTTCTCAATAGTGTTCTAATTGTTCTAAATAGGGTTCTAGTTGTTCTCAATAGTGTTCTAGTAAAAATGAATATGATTAGCAATAGCTGCTTCACAAGAAAAAGAAAATCATGGTCACACTAAACTTAAAATCAACAAAAAAGAATAAAAGTTTACATTCTATAGTCTCTCCTGTTACATTGAAATTATTCATCAGAGTAACAAGGAAAAAGTATTTATCAGAGAAACAAGAAGAAGGCACAACATCATCAACAACATCATCAACAACATCATCACACAACATCATCACACAACATCATCACACAACATCATCAACAACATCATCAACAACATCATCAACAACATCATCAACAACATCATCAACAACATCATCAACAACATCATCACACAACATCATCACACAACATCATCACACAACATCATCAACAACATCATCAACAACATCATCAACAACATCATCAACAACATCATCAACAACATCATCAACAACATCATCACACAACATCATCAACAACATCATCAACAACATCATCAACAACATCATCAACAACATCATCACACAACATCATCACACAACATCATCACACAACATCATCAACAACATCATCAACAACATCATCAACAACATCATCAACAACATCATCAACAACATCATCACACAACATCATCACACAACATCATCACACAACATCATCAACAACATCATCAACAACATCATCAACAACATCATCAACAACATCATCACACAACATCATCACACAACATCATCACACAACATCATCAACAACATCATCAACAACATCATCAACAACATCATCAACAACATCATCACACAACATCATCACACAACATCATCACACAACATCATCAACAACATCATCAACAACATCATTAACAACATCATCAACAACATCATCACACAACATCATCACACAACATCATCACACAACATCATCAACAACATCATCAACAACATCATCAACAACATCATCAACAACATCATCACACAACATCATCACACAACATCATCAACAACATCATCAACAACATCATCAACAACATCATCAACAACATCATCAACAACATCATCACACAACATCATCACACAACATCATCACACAACATCATCAACAACATCATCAACAACATCATCAACAACATCATCAACAACATCATCAACAACATCATCAACAACATCATCACACAACATCATCAGATCAATATCATAATCAATAATCAGAGTAACAAAAAACATCAAGAATCATCACAAAAAAAATCACAAAAGGAATCATAAGTTAGCTTTATATTCTAGTATATACTTTATTGTATGTATATATCATATACGATATATACAATATTTTCTATGTTGAATTAAAGGTTTAAGCAGTTTTTTCTTAAAAACAAGACTCAATCTCTTGATCCAATCTCTTGATCTTGAACTAAACAACAGTTGTGCATTTATTCAGTATATAAATTTAACCTAAAAAAGTTAAAAATAATCAATGCCGTGTGTCAACTACACATATTAAAGAGCACATTATTCACACTGCATCACTGTGCATGATACAGCATTGTAATTGGTGTTTAATAAAAATCCATGAAAGGTTAAAGGTTGAAGATTAAAAAATTATACACCCACAAGCTTTATTGAATTTAGATTAACACTCTTTCTTTATATATTCATAAAAATGTGCATTTTGTACCAAAATTGCACATTTTTAAAAAAATGACATCAAAACAATAAAATAACAAATTCTACATCATTTTTAGTCAAAAACAGTTCACTCTTAGGAGACAAAAACAGTTCACCCTTGAACATTTTGTTTGATAATCATATAAGAGTTTCGATTTTGACATGACCTAGTTTCACCAAAAAAGTGACGTCACTCTTTGACCATAAGTTATATGTCCAAAGTAGATAACCTGCCAAAGATCCCTGAGTGTTGCTAAATTGAGAAATATATTGCCTTAATTAAATTTAAGGCAATAGTCTATGTAAACCACTGTAAAGCAAAATGTATGAAACAACTTTGTATTAGCATAAATAAAAGCCTCAAAAAACTCAAGAGCCTGAATGATGATAGAATGAGTTGATTATTTATAATAGATTAGTCATAAAAATAGAGATGCAAGCATGGTTGTAATAGCAAAAATAAATCTAATAAATATTACATTAACTAAAATCCTTTCAAGTCAATTTATCTTGAAAATTAGAGAAATAAACTGAAAGAAAAAATTTAATATTGAAACTAATATTGGAATAAATACTTTTTATTTAATTTTAGATTAAAAACTTAGAGTAAAAACTTAGGGAGGTAATTTGTAATTTATAACTTGAGTGAGTTTGGCACTATCAGTCATTAAGTCATAAGACTCACAGTCATAAGGCTCATAATTGACAAAAAATCAATTAAGCCTTTAAATGTGCGATTTGAAGAATTTTATTCTTTCATATGTACTATTTGCTGTAATTAACATTTTAAAACAGATAAATAAGTTAGGTACAATAGTAAAAGAAATTTTTATTACAAATAATAAATTAATAAGTTTGATTAGAGATTAAGTATAATTATAATGATGATAATTAAAGTTACACTAAACTGATGAAAAGTATGACCTAATCATTAGCTAGAAAAGTTTACTTGAATAGTTGTGGTGAGGCAATTACAATTATTTGACATGGTACCTATGGTAACTATATCAGACAACATTATTACAGATATATAATTTTGTTTACAATGCAAATAAGTGGATTTATATAAAATATCATGACTACCATAAATATCATAAAGACCATGAATACCACAACTACCATGAATATCATGACAACTGTGAATATCATGACTTCCATGAATATCATAACAAACATGAATCATGATTTTCATTTACTTAACATAACGACTAGGTGTCATTGTTCCATGTAGCCATGTAACCATGAATATCATGACAACCCTGCCATTCTAGTTTTTAAGAAAAAAACTCTTTGAAGTTGCTTAAAGTTAAAAATTAAAATCAAAAACATGCTATTAAATATATATCATGTATTTTTTTTCCTTTTCTCTTGCCAATGTACACATGGAACTTATAAAAACTTGTAACACTGAAGACACCAGAATCGAAAATAAGAATAAAAAAATATTTACTTTGTATTCTTCTGAAAGAGAACAATTATTATCTTTTTGCAACCGATCCCAATGTTTTGCAAAATCTTTCAAGCTGATTGGTGGATGACTGGAATCAACAATAATAGTTTCAGGCGGCTTTTTTATCTCGCTTTTTTCAAGTATTTTCACTTCAAGTTTTTCAACTATTGGAGCTTTAACTAAATAATTTGAACATAAATAAAAATAAAACAAAAAATTTATAAAAAAAATAATTTGAACATAAATAAAAATGAAATAAAAAGTTTATAAAAAAAAAAATTGAATTTTCTAGGTGAAATTTGAAATAGAAAAATTTTCCTAAAATGAAAATAAAGAAAAGTAAAACAACCACAAGGTTTCTTTTCTAAAGATTTTTGCTTCTCATCATCACTTTGAAATGAAGGATTTTTAAAAGCAAGTGGTACGAGCTTTGTATTTTCTCCCGCTTTTTTGTAAGGTGATTCTCTTTTTTGCCTTCTAAAAATAATATATTCAACAAAAATTAAAATTACAATAAATAAACAATATAGTAAAAAACATCAACAATTATTATAATTTAACTATTAATATCAGTTTATAAATAAATGATTAGTTATTAGTTTAGATATTTTAATATCAAATAATATACAATAATATAAAACAATATATAATAATATAAAACAATATACAATAATATAAATTAATCACCCTATCAGGGCAGGTATTATTCTGTTTAATTTATTTTCACCTCCTAAATGCCAGTGGGCTGCCACTATGACATTTTTTTAATTAAAAAGCTACTCATTTTTTCTTCTTCCTCAACACAATTTTTGATTTACAAATAATTTTTATAGAGTATAATATTAGGCGCAATATCATTAAGGAAATAGGTGGAACCTGCAAACTTTAAAAGTCAAATGTTCTAACCATTGCACTACTATGGTCAACAAAAATTACAGAAGTTACACGCAAAAAAACAACAAATGTGTTTGACACAATATTAGTATTTTGTGCATACATAAACATTTAATATGCAGCCATTTTAAAGTAACAAAATAATATTAATAAAAAATGAAATTGTTTGCTTTAATGTGATTTTTTTCAAGAATATAAGTTGCCATAACTATATTTTGTTAGCTGATACTTTTTTTACATGTTTACATAACTATATTTTGTTAGTTGATATTTTTGGTTATCTCTTTTTCAGTAACTACTTGTTTCAATATTTTTCAGTAATTGCTTGCTTCAATATTTTTCAGTAACTGATTGTTTCAATATTGTTATAATTTCTAAAAATATTCAAAAAGTCTGAATAAATATGGACAAAAAATCAAGTCAAGTGAAACACCATTAAACTTTAAAATAATTGATAGGTGATTGAAAAAAAGGGTATTTATATTGTTTCAATATTGCTATAATTTCTAAAAATATTCTAAAAGTCTGAATAAATATGCACAAAAAATCAAGTTAAGTGAAACACTATTAAACTTTAAAATAATTGAAAGGTGATTGAAAAAAAAGGGTATTTATATTTAAAAGATTTATAAAACATTTACAAAGACTTTAAAGTTGTTTTTGTTTACATTCAAAAAAGCATTAAAAAACAAACATAATAACTGGTTTTGACTCAATAATTTTGCTTATTATTTCTACTTCTCTATTTGTTCTTTTTATTTTATTAGGAATAAAATAAAATTTTTTTCTCTAAGTTGTGACTGATCATATACTTAACTCTAATACCTAATTATTTTTTTAACAACATGGCTGCTTATATTCTTGCATTTTGTATGTTTATAAAGATATATATATATATATATATATATATATATATATATATATATATATATATATATATATATATATATATATATATATATATATATATATATAATATATGTAGGGTAGATAAAGGTAATATGAGCACCTTGGTAATATAAGCATACTTAAAGATTTCTTAAATGTAAGCAGTGAAGTTAAAGTTGCTTTGTATTTTTTGAATCAACTTTATATGGTGATAACAGGAATCAGTATAATTAGCATAAATTTATATGTAGTAATTAGGGGCTATTATCTAATTAAAAAACACTGTTAAAATTTTTGTGTTGTTAAAATAATATCACTACACATGAATAAATCTGTGGTGTAAAATTTTGCTGCTACAATAATGAAATTAATTTTTTCAAAAAGAAAAACATGTTAGTTAAAAACCAAATCCATTTTTGTTTGAAAAACAATACATAGAAACAGTTTTGATTATTTAAAGATGCTGTGTAATGATTTTTGTGTAATATGAGCATGCTCAAATAACCTAGTGTTTTTCATTGAAATTACCTAGTTTAAAGTCCTAAAATAGCTGCTTATTTAATAAAAACAAAATATAGCAAAAACTTTTAATATTTTAACAATATTAAAAGTTTTTGCTATGTTTTGTTTTTATTAAATAAGCAATTAAAGTTGCAATTAAAGTTGGTACATATTTAGATTATACCAAGGAGATGGTTAAAGTACATCAAATAAGGTAAGACTTTCAAAAGTTGGGACCCCTAAACGTTTCATAAAAAATCTTTAAATATTATTTTCATGCTGTACTGATGCCAAGACAACTTTTTGTTCATGTACAGGAAAGATAAAAAAATTCGACTCTAATATATACATATATTTTTATATGTATATATAAAAATATATGTTTATAAAAATATATATATAGGGTTGCCAGATGTCTGGCTTTTACAAAGGAGAGCACAGTAAAAATATTTATTTGTACAGGTTTGGCACTGTAAAAACTGTATTCTCCTCCTTAAAAACCGGACATCTGGCAGCTATATATATATGTATATATATATATATATATATATATATATATATATTTATATATATATATATATATATATATATATATATATATATATATATATATATATATATATACACACAAATAATTTTAAATTTTAAATGTATTCTACAAAACAGAGTGCTCAATGCTTTTAAAAAAACATTATAAATAAATAAGAATAGAGCAATAATAAAATCACTTATCAAACTTTCTTTTTATACTGTGTTAAATAAAAAAAAAAAAACAATTATCCAATTAGTGGAAAATGTTTAACAAAAAATGTGGTACATAAATGTGTTGTTTCCTCTAAGAATGAACCTGATAAACAATATATTGGCTTAACAAAGGGTGAATGGAAAAAAATGTTTTACCAATTATAAGCAATCTTTTAAAAATAAAACACATTCAAAAGACACCATGCTTTCAAAATACATAAGGGAATTAAAAGATAAAAGCATTGATGATTTTATATTGATATATATATATATATATATATATATATATATATATATATATATATATATATATATATAAACTAGTTTTTTATTCTACAAATGTAAGTGTATTCTACAAATAGAGTGCTCAATGTTCTTAGTAATAATAAATTAGAAAAACACCTATTTAATATTCTTTAACAAGTTGTTTTGCCACCAGTAGGCTCATCAGGAAGCTTTCTGATGAGTCCCTCCTCCTCCCATCATCTCTGGTACCACTTTGTGGTAATGTTAATAATAGTAATGTAAATAATAATTGTTTTAATTTTATTAAAACATTATTTTCATAAAACTTTAGACTTCATATTTACACAAAAACATGCCTATAGACCATATGAGCCTATAATCTATAGACCAAACAAACTCTTGCATCATCTACTAAAATTCATTCTCGTGTTACTTGTCATTCAATTAAGTCTCATCCTTTTTCTGTTACTGTTCCTAAGTGCTTCAAAAACTCTTATTCATCTAGTTTTTTTCCTCGAACATCAGTTCTTTGGAATTCACTTCCTTCATCTTGCTTTCCTGATTCATATAATTTGCAATCTTTTAAGTTGTCTATCAATTGTTATCTTGCTCTACAATCTTCATCTTTTCTCTTCCAGTAACTTCCAACACTAATGAGTGGTTGCTTGTAGCCTTGTTGGAAGCGAAGATGTTAAAAGAAAAAAAAAAAAAAAAGAAAGTATGATCAAAGCAAAAAAACATTAGATACCAAGGTTTAAAATACTTTATTGTTTCTTGATCAAATAACTAATAACAAATTTTCAAAATTTGCAAATTTTAAACTATTAAAAATAGAAGTATAATTAAGTTTTTCATTTTTTAAGTTAAATATATAAATATAAAAATATTAATATAAATATAAATACTTTTATATTTATACATTTTCTGTTTTCATACATATATTTTCTGTTTTCATATAAATTGTTTTGCCAAAAAAAAGTAAAACAAAAAGGTTTGGTTTAATAAATCGAATTATATTTCCTTAAGTTTATGAATATGCTTAAATTATTTTTTTTAATAAATACTTTTTTTAACAGAAACAAATTAACTTATTAATTTTAATTTTTTATAATTTAATTTTTATTTTAACTTGTGCAATTACTGGTTTAAAGTTTGCAATAGAATGTTTCTACTTTTAAAACTATTCTAAGACGTTTACGATTTAAATAAAACTTTATTCTTCACTTACACTATGTTCTGAATCTGATATTGTTACTGTAGCCTTTAACTTTCAGCAATGATTCTCACTATGCTGGATATTATGGACTGGGTATGTGAACAGGGTAATTCCATGTCAATTGAGCCAGAAAATTTCAAAAATGTCACCATACATCTCAGATTTTGCTGATTTTTATACAGTTGAGAGTACTTAGTAAAACAAAAAATCCTTGAAAATTTTAGCTTCTAGCTCCAAGAGGATCATGAAATATGATCATTTTACTTTTAACTGATCTTGGGCAGGCCCCTCTTTTCCCCTTAGAAATTTGACCTTTGTTTAAATGTTCCAAGTCACATAGCTCTAAAAATATTTAATCTTTTGACTTAAAAATTTGTACCTAGTTATTTTCAGGGTTGAAGAATCCAATGAAATAATCAGAAATGTAAAAAAATATTTTTAAGTACCTGTAATTATCAATTTAAATAAATTTAGGCAATTTTCTATATACCTGATTTTGATGCTCAAGAAAGCCATGTGGCCTTGATGATATTAAAAAAAAAAATTGTACACATTATTCTATGTTTAATGATCTTTCAGAAAACATAAAAATTTTGATCTGCAAGTATATGAATTTCCATATATGGTTAACGGGGCACAGGCCCCACTATTTTGTAGCGGAATCTTGCCATACATTTTTCACTACCTTTCAGACTAGCTAGAACAATGAAAATTTTGGTATTTATGTAGTGTCAATAAATGTGCATTTTAAAATTAAAAAAGGGCCCAGGAAACACTAGGGGAGGGGGCAGTAGGGATGTGCCCCACTTTTTTGACCGGAATTTTGAGATAGATTTTTCAGTATCTTCCAGACAAGCGGGAGTTTTGAAACTTTCAGCATTTGTGTAGTCCTAATGAACATGCATTAAAATTGTTTCAGGTCAGATGACCAGAAGGTCCATGGGGCTGGGGCACTGGGGACCATGCCCCGCTTTTTTTCTCAAAAAAA